TTCGATAAAGTTCAATACTGTGCATGTTGTTTGATGTTCCTAACAGAACCCAACAGCTTGAGATCTCAATTCGTTTTGTTCATGTTGATATCTTTGATAAGGTCGTTCTTAGCCATTCTTTTTCTTAAATCACACGACACTGTATTTTTTAATTATGAAAACAGGCGATGAATAAACTCTGTAGGTCTGAGTATGTTATATAATAGTCATCCTAACGGATAAAGTTTGTAACTATGGGGCAAACTTGGCAACAATCACCTTGCATATGCACGACTTATATTGTGGGTAGTGAATAATTTTAGATTACCTTCCAAATGTTTAGGACTAATTACATCAATGATTAATCTTTATTAAATATTTTTATGGTATCAAATGATTTGGGTGTGCTTGTCCTAAAAAAACTTATATGTCAATATATATATGTTAAGTATTATTTTTTTACGTCTCTAGAATAAATCCTATACCTAAAATTGGATTATTTATTTTTCTTTTGTGATTTCTTAGTTTATTTAAACGTATTGAGAATCAATTCAAAATCTACACTATTATTTACTTTTCTCAATGATTATTCACTTTTCTTTTGTGATTCAGAAATATATTCTATCGCCATCTACAATGCATTTCAAAATCAAATTTAATTATGAGAATCATTATATCAAGTCATATAAAATACTCATTCTATATTAAATTGATAATTAATTATCATAAATGATTTAATAAACTAAAAAGACAAACATACTAATTATATATTTGTTTCCAAAAATATTGTTGATACCATTTCCAAAAGAAGCATTTACATTTATTATTAGTAACCTCAATTCCATCAACTCCCTCTTTATATATATAATATTTATTTTGATACTGTTGACACCAGATCTACATCAATGCAAACAAGCGATAGGTGGCATCCAAATCACTTAATGACAATTTCTAAGTATCAAAGATAATGATGAAATTAATCAGCTTCAGCATCTCATTCAACAACTTGAACGGAAATAAATAGACTCAAAACCAAAGCGTCCGACCTCCACTATCATAGGTCGAACTATAAGAAATGACGACATGGAGATCAACCCAATGCAACACACGTATCACACGACATAAGAAGATCGATCGGATTCTTCCTAAGATCGGACTCTGACAGAACATTAAATGCGGAAAAGACATGTATCAGTTATCCTGTTGAAAAGCCACTGACCGACATGGGACCCACCAGGTGGTTCTGCACGAGACCATCACATCGCATTAAATGGTAATCATGCCAGTAACATGCCAACCTCGAAGATCGTACCCATGTGTTTCATAGTATATATATCCCACAATTATCATTAAAAAAAAGGATGGATGCTGAGATTATTCGAAAAGAGTCTGATGTTCATCTATTTAACACCCGCAAACATACACTATCTGTAAAACACAATGATCCCAGCTTTTATATAATTTTGAGGTAGTCCGACCTCGTGATGTTTAAAACATTTACCTTGTTTTGTTCACACTGATATTTACAGTATACGCGATAATTGCATGTTAAATTCGACATTAAATTCTTCTTAATCTCAGGGGATTTTCCTAAACCATTTTTTGCATAATTTGCATAACAACAGTTTAACGCTAGAAAAAGAGCTTCATCGTTTGATTTGGAGTAATTTTTGACGTGAAACACCACAAATAGCTCACAGTAAATATCACTGTCGTCAAGCCAAGAAGCGGAATCTCAACCCCAACAGGCTGAACAACTGCGTGTTCAGCTACACCATGTTAAATCTTCGCGTGCTCAACCTCAAACGATGGGACAAACGTGTGCACTAGCTCCGGTAATTCCTCCTGCCGTCGACTTCACAATGGTATTCCAAAAACCTGAACTTCTGAAGGGCATAGCCAACTTGATGACGCAAGTATTGCCAGCGGCATCTCCAGTCACGCCACCACAGCCGTCACCGGTTGTGGATCTCCTCAAAACCCCTGCAAGTTATAAGGGTAAAGGCTCAGTCCAATCTAATGTTGTCCTTCAGCCGTCTGAGGATGCGACGAACCATCGGGAGAAAACTACAAATTTGGCCTGGACAAGGATGACGAGGGAAAGCAGATTAGCAACTGTTCTCAAGGAAAAATTCCATAATCCCTCAATATTTACACGACTGAGAAGAAAGGAAGTTGATCACGATCACAAGGGATCACGATTTTTTTTTTATTATTATTTAGTAATTCAATTGAGACATATGACATGAAATAAATGGGTACATGGTCTTAGGTAGGTATGAGGTTGGTAAGAGATGTACTTGACAGTAGAGTCACCCTACTCGTTTGTTCCCATTTGTCATACATTCTAGGGCTGCTCATTCGGTCGAAGCCGAATCGAACCGACCGAATTTTCAGTTAACCGATTTCGATTTGTCCATTATCATAATTGAAAATCGAACTAAAACTTACGATTTAGTTTGTTTTTTAACCAAAAATCCAGCGGTCGGTTCGGTTCAGTTTTCGGTTAATTGCAATAAATAATTAATCTTTGAATTTTTAACCGGACAAAGAATTTGATGTTTTATTCGAACCGAAAAAAAAATTGATTTTTTACCACCATGTTTAATCTTCCCAATAAATTCTAAATTCTGCTCAAAGTAAGATCTCGGAGCTGAACCGTGACTTGGACTGTGACGAAGTCAATCTTTAGTGTAAAATAATGCTTGAGCCATTTTAAGTGTCATTGGACTTTAAAAATCATCAATCATTGAACGAAATTAATGCTTTTATAACTTATATGTATAAATAAAAAC